TATCTACTGCATTTATTTGGAAGGTATTTTACAATATCTGTAAGAATCTGTGGGTTATTTTGGAAAATATTCTCCTGTTTGAAGGGTAGATACTGATTTCTTTGTGGCTAAGCTGTTACTTATGACCCTGAACAAAGCAGAAGTCTTGGAATGCCTTCCTGCTCTGTGCATAATAGACCTGTTCTCTCAATTACTGCACAAAGGAATAGTTTAACTCCACTTGGAATATAGGTATGTTTGAGTTTCAGGAAAATAGAGTATTGTTGATTAGTTGTGAACTAGAACAAAAAAGCCACAAGAGGGCATATTTTTCTGGGTTTCATTACCCTTTTACAAATAAGTCTTGCCTAGATTAGGTACCATAGGAATTCTTTCCCCTTCCCATGTTCTTAGAAGAATACATATCAAAGTATGCTCTAAGGGTGGAGTGGTGGTGACAGGAAGCATTAAGAAAAGCAAACTTAGAGATGGTATTTTTTTCTTATATGATGTACAGGAAGGTTGCTTATTTTTCCTTAAAAATCCTTCCTTTAGGGTTATTGATGTAAGAACATTGTTGTAAAAATAATGAGTCCTTTATTTGACTATAAACTCCACCATTCTGCAATAGCTATGTGGACTCCTATATCAGCCACAGAAAGGCTTTCCAGCCTCTAGTGAATGTTCATAGCCAAGGAGGTTTTCTTTTCTGAGGTCTCAGGACTTGGGCCAAAGGGGTTGGGCTGTGTTTTTATTTTTATTTTGAAGTGCATTCCTGCTGAATTTAATTATTCACCACACCCCAAGCCAGCTAAGTAAATATAACCTTAAGATTCTGGCTTGGAAAGGTTTTTGAAAAAGAGATTTTTTTTTTTTTTTTTTTTTTTTTTAAGTAAAGGCTCTCCATAACAGGGTGCCATATTGCAGAGGGCATGAAGGCAGGAGCCAGACGAAGCTGGGTGGTCACTCCATCTCCACAGCTTGGCTTCCTCACGCATTGCAGAGGGTCTACAAGGTCTCTGAGGCCTCTCCTCACTCTGAGTGTTAATAGTTATTGCTGATGTTATAAGAATGTAAAACTCAAAGAACATTAAGCAAGCTTCTGACAGTTTTACATTACGATTAACCAACCATAAATTATTTTCTGTCATTTGTTGATATGAAGCAGCAATCCATTTACTTCTGAGAGTTCTATGTATGTGTAATTAATACTGAATGAAATAAAGACAAAAGTCAGGTGTGTTCTTTTCCACTGCTAAATAGGATCTAATGATCTTAACATGTAACTAATGATCCAGCAATGAGTGGGTTGGTGCTGTGATCAAATGAAACAGATGGAAAAAAAAATATCTAAAGTTTATAAGGGGAAAATACTTGATGGAAGATAGGAGGTGAGTGAGCTTCTTTCAACTCATGTCATCACTTGCTCCAATTAGACATTAACATATATCCCAGTTTTTTCATATGAATATAAAGCATTTCTTATCTGTCAGTTTTGATACATTAATGTGTGGGAAAATATTTATGAAGTAGTATTTATTATAAGGCAGAAAGGTTTTATATATGGCCAAGGTATGACTACTTTTATAGAAATGGAAAGGGGCTTGGGTTTTATCTCCATTTTTCTTGTCTCTGTACATAGAGATCTGCAATCTCTTTCACCTATATATATATTTTTCCCTTTTAAATTCACCACATTTCCATTTGTTTTGTGAATAAAAGAGAATCAGGACTGTAGATTTTGTTGAAAGAGAACTACAGGCTAGTTTCTTCTGCTGAAAGTACAGCTAAATCCTCTGAGCTCTTGCTAGATTTAAATTCTGGACCCAGTAATTATCTTTCTCCTGTCTTTTGGGCAGAGGTAGCTATATGTGGAGTTGGAGAAGCCTAGAATATACCTGGTCTACTCTTATCCATCCCTGCTGCCTTCCCCTGTGGTTCCAAAATAGATCAATTTTTGAAATCTATAATTAGAACTTTGTTCTTTGGCTTCATTCAGTATTAAAATGTAACTTTGGGAAATAGTGTGTTTCACATTATCTAATAGATATTTGCTACCATATATTAAAAATGATTTCTACATATTCTATCTGTGGGCCCCAACAGGGATAGATGCGTGTGTGTGTCACTGAGAAAGAGCCTGGACCCTCAAGACAAGTTCACTTCCTCAACACTCTTTCCAAGCACCTTGAAAGTACTTTGTTTTCTTTTTCCTCCCCCGCCACCCCAAACTGAAACCAGGCATAGCAGCTGCCATCAGGTATTTCTGATGACATACATATCTCTTTCAGTATAATTAAGGATCACTGGTTGAATCTTAGTCACCCTTGGAGATAAGCTAAACTGTATAATACACCTTACATTTTAACACAACAATGTAAAATAGACGTTTCCCACTGGGTTTTATTGCAAGGATTCAGACAGGTATTAGCCCTACGGGAAAGACTATCAAATTGCTTTTGATGACAATGAATCTCAAACTCTTAGAAAAGGTTGTAAAACCACATTGGTGGGATCCTGTATAGTTAGCAGAAATTCAGAAATATATTTGGTGACTCATTAGCATCATCATATAAGCTGTTTTTATTAACTCATTTAACCCCCAAATATTTGTTAAACACCTACCATATGCAAGGCACTCAGAGAAGTACCTTGCGGATTACAAAGCCATGGACACAGCAGAGGCCACTCATAATAACTTTGGGCTGTGCAGTCGATTCTGCCTGCTGTGTGCTCAGTGCAATCAAAAGGAAGGAAAGCACAGAACCCAGTTTCCAGATGTCTTCCACAAGTATGGTCAGGATGTCCTAGTAAATGCAGTCTAAATTTGAAGTCAGGGTACTTCAAGCTAAATCAGTTCAATACAAATTCATAGGCATTGTTTTAGGGGCTGGGAAACAAAGACAAAAAACAGCCAACACTCATTGTATGGGATGCAGACACATGCATAACTAATTATGATAAAATGAAAAGGGCTTATAATAGCAGTGAAATCAAAGTGCTTTGGAAAAACAGGAGGGAATGATTAATTCTGTAAGGGCTTTATGACAAAGGCTGAAATAGTAGCAAAAGAGAGATGTCGTTTGGTTTGAGTATATTAAGCTAGGAATTAGACAGGAGGGAAAAAGGGGAAATCCAGAGTTCACTACACTTCTAGTTAAACACAATGTTCTGGCCAATAAACTGACAAAATTACTAGAAAATTAATAGAGTTTTCAAAATAAAAAACCACTTATCATGAACCCACCATGTGCACAACCCTAAGCTATGTTTGTGGGAGACAAAAGAGGTATTTTGTCCTAACAATATGCATGCAACTTGTATAGAGGGGCAACAGCATAAACAAATAACAGCATGGATTAAACAAATAAAATATAGAAAAGTGCAATAAATACACCAAAGGTATGGGTTTTTTTAGAAAGGTTTTTTTCAAAACATTGAATATAAAGAATTAAGGAAAAAGGTGCTATAGGTTGGAATAGTCTGTAGGGACTTAAATTGTCCTGTATCCTAAGAGGAAAATTATGGAGTTGGTTCAGAGTCAAAACCAAGGTTATAGAGATGTGGCAGCATGAGACACAGGAAAGAACCTTGGACAGTCAGGAAACTTGAGTCGCTCTTAAGCCTGGCTCTGTCACCAATGTGTAACTTACAGTGACTCATTTAGCATTTGTGGCCCTCAGCTTTCTGCAGCTGAGGGGAGGCTGAATGAAGAGTACCCTCCCCCACTTTCAGTTCTTCCATTGTTGCCACTGTCTGCTCACCACCCCCAAACCAAAACAGCCTGTCATTTGGAGGGAGTTCCAAGACCTGTGCCCTTAAATGAAGCTGACAAATACAGGACCCTGTGGCTGTTTTTTTTTTTTTTTTTACCTGTTCCTCTATCCCAAGTCAACTCTATGTCTGGGACTAGTGAAGTGCCAAGTGTTACTACACTCCTAGAATTCCAGCCGCAGGATTTACCACGAGGCTAATAAGGCCCAAGCTTCAGCACTCATCACTTGCACAGGCCCTTTCTATATCCCTGAGGGCAGCCTGACAATGAATTCACATGGTCATATGTTTTTGTAAAATCTGTAGAATAAGCTATTTCTACATTATTGTTTTTAAAAAGGATCTTACCTCAAATTGTGTAAGTTCCAGGCTCCAGGAAAATGCGGATCCACCCTTGGTCCCCACATACTTCCAAGTTGCATGACCATGCATACAAAGGAAACGTCCTAAAACAGGAACAGGTGACATATCTGTTGGCCTGGTATGAAAGAAAGAGGAAAGACAACTTGCATTTTAATTTTAATTTTTTTTTTTTTTTTTGCCCTCTGCATCGTCCTTTGTCGGTGCTAGCCCCTTAATGGTGGGCTTATCTTTGTTCATTCCCATGCCTGCTTTTTCAAGGCCAGTATGAGTGGACTGGGGTATTACATACTGGAACACATGTACTGTTTTTGAGGCTTAGAATTTTGGGGAGAATGTTCTGTTTCTTCTCAGGCGGTCCTTACAGACTTTATGGTATAGAATAGAGGTCCTAAAGTCACTCCGGCGCGGTGCCCTCTCCGGAAAAACCTCCCTCGGCACGGCCGGAGCTACATTTACTCCGCGCTGCTGACAGCCCGCGGGCGCGCAGGGATGGACTTCTGCACGCCGCGGAGGCCTGGCGTGCGCAGAGGGAAGGGGGGCCGGGGGCTGGGGGAGGAGATCGGAAGGGGAGAGGTAATCCCCGGCGTTTTGAGCATCCCCTTTTTAGAAAGACTGAGTCTCTCCAGGACAGCTGCTGCGGTCACACCGCAAACTTAAAAGCCGCCCTCCCGCTCGAAGCGTGCCTTTCTTCGCCACACTCGCCTCCTCAAAGCTCCAGCTGGTGCCTGGATCTCCGCCTGTCCCGGCAGGGCGCTCGGGGACCAGCAGCGCCCCCTGCCTCGCGGCCTGGCCTCTGCGGCCGCAGCCTCCGCGCTCCTCTAGGGCCGCCGGCGGTTCCGCGGCTCAGCCAGGGCTGCGGCTCAGTGGAGCTCGCCCCGGTGCCCCGGGTGGCCGCCTCGCACGCCCGCAGCCCGTATCCCCGTACTGTCTCCCTGAAAAGATTCCAAGCAAAGAGCGGGAGAGACGAGTTCGTGGCAGGTAAGGCTGGTTTCGGGTCACCTGCTACTCAGTGGGACGGCGTTCAGGGGACCGCGGTGTTAAGCGGGGTGACTGGATTTGGGGATGGCCGTGTTTCTGAAGTGAGGATGCTCAGGGGCCAGAAGACAAGGAACCGTCCTGGAAAGGAGAACGCGCTCGGGAGCGGGAAGGGAGTGCGCGCCGGAGAGCGGACGGCCTGTGCGCGCGGCGCCGGGGACGGCGTGGCGGCGGGGGCGCGGTCCCGCTTCGCCCTGTCGCTGCCCGAGCTTCCTCAGCCGGAGTCCCGGGCGGCCAGCACCGTCAAAGTTTCCTCGTGAGACGCGCCCAAGAACTTCACTCTCTCTTCCCGGCCAAGGCCGGGAGAGCTCGTTTGAACGTGTCCGGTGGCCTCCGCAGGCTGCAGGTTCATTCGGAGACGCGCTAGTGGGGACCGTCTGGGAGGACTTGACCGAGGGCGTCTGCGCCCTCGCTCCCTCCTTTCCCGTTGGGCTGGGGCAGGGGCCCGGGAGACCGTGGTGGTGGTTTTTGTTGTGGCGCTTTTGGGGAGGGATGGGCGACACCTTTTTCCCTGTGAGGGAAACGCGACGCTCAGTCGTATGGAAGCGCGCATCCTTCTAGACCCTGAGGGGAAAATTGGAGTCAGACCCCAGCCACAAAGCCGGCTGTCTGGGAAATGCGGTCGCTGCACAGCGCTCTCCGGCTGGAGCAGGGCCTCGCCGGGTAGGCTCAGCTCGGCTCGCTCTGGAGAAGCCGGGATTTGACTCAGGCGGGCAATTTAACCCGGCCAGCTTACCCCCCACGGTGTTCCCTGCCGCCCCGCCCGTCGCGCCGCCCGTCGGCGCGTTAATGGGCTGGCCTGGCAGCACAAGGGCAGTGCTCGGCTCCCGTGATGCTCCTTCCCGCGGGACTTGTGTTCAGCCTCGTGGGCTGAGTTACAGGGCTTTCGTCCCGGCGCGCGGAGGGCGCTTGACAGGAGGAGGGGACGAGGCGCTCGCGGGCAGGCAGGAATCCAGCGGGCTGGACGCGAGCCGCGCGCCCAGCTGCTGGGGCCGCCGAGCTTCCAGATTCCGTGTGACGGAGAGCAGAGTTAAATAGGCGAAACTTTTCGCCATTTACCCCCGAGTGAAGTTTTAAAAAAAGTCAGGTATCCCTATGAGGACTCTTCATTTTCCTCTAACCCCCCTGCCATCCTTCCTTAGCTTGTCGGCGTTGTTTGCACAAGCAAAATGGGGAGGCGCACCTTAAAGTCTCAAATGCAGCTGGAAAGTGTTCTCTCCTCCTATATGTGTGTGTGTGTTGGGGAAGCGGAGTCCTTAAACATCTGGAGCAAAGTGGTAAGGGGCAGGTAGAGGAGACGGGACGAGACCCCGTCTAGGTCTGGGGCTGCTATTGTGTAACCATGGAAACCGCCAGGGCGGGCGCGGTCAGTGCCTCACAGGTTCCACACGTGGAAAGAAGAACGTGAAAGTGTGGGGAACGGAGAGAGCCACACGTCACCACTTCAGTGAAGCCTTCTCTTCTTCCGCTGCTCTGAGGGCAGACAGCGAGGAGGATGAGCAAAAAGGTCTGGGTTGGAAGTGAGCTCCCCCAGCCAGCAAGCGCTTTAACTCTGTCCAGCCTTGGAGTCGCCGAGGCTCGTCCCAGCAGCTAAAGCTGGCCCGAGGAGCCACGGCGGACAGGCTACAAAGTGATGATCCAGGTCAGGGAGATGGGAAAAAAAAAACCCTGGCCCTTCGAAGAGAAAGGCCAGGAAATACCGGAAGGTGATGTGGAAAGAGATAAGAATAGGGTCAAGAGGTAGCTGAGAGACAATGAAACGGGTACTGATCAGGACTGCCAACATTTCAAATGGAATTTGCCCATTTGGAATGGAAAATTGGTGAAAGGAATGGACGTTGAGCAAACACCACATCCCAGGTGTTCTGTATATTCAAAATTAATATTCCTAACAATACTACATGAAGTGTGATTATTCTCTTATTTTTTAGGTGAAAAAAACACAGGCAGAGAGTTAGAAATGAGTGGTGTCCAATTTTGGCTTTTGCAATCTTAACAAAGACTTGTAATTCTTAAAATAGTATTGATGGGTAGGGCAGTAGAGAAAGCAGCATTTCTCATTTTAGAGTTGTGAGAATAATGAGATGTGAAGTTGTTAATTGATGTGTCCAAACGTAAGCTAGTAAGGGGAAGAGCTGAGACTGGAACTGTTCCACCTGATTGTGGGTCACCTTTCAGGGACTTCAAACAGCTTTCCATGACCTCATTTAAAGCGAAGACCTTTTGAAGATGAGTTTGATGCTGTATCTGTATATATTATAATTTACAGGGGAAGAACACCCAAGAATTTAAATAGGATCTATGGTTGAGGGTGGGCAAGGGCCACATCAAATCTGTAGGCTGAGAATCGTATGTACATGCTATTAATAATCTATGTGTATATAGGTCTTATTGTATCTTAATAGGGATTATTAGTGACTTTAAATTATGTTTGTAAAGGAAATATGGAAACAGAGGAAACATTTTGTCAAATAGTAACCCCATAGCTATGCTGAGAAAATTTCCAGACATTAATGAAGTTTTCTTTAGTTTATTTTTTGCCTTCATGACTGAATACCTAAAAACTTAATTCATATTTTGGCACCACTGGTTCACCTTTGTAAGAGTTTGTTGCCCATTAATCTTGGTGAGTAATGATTTGACTCCTTTACCTTCCTGCCGACTCTCTGAGAGGGGAGGTCAAGGAAAAATATCTGGCAATGCAAAATGTTTTAGAATTATCAGGAAACTATTATAATCAACAGGAACAGAATCTTAGAGTAAAAGGTAGAGAAAAAAAATCATGTGGCTTTTTTGATTTTCCCTGATGGCAGAATTGTCTTTATAGTAACATCTTAGCTAATGAATTTTCTTTATACTTTTGCATGGGAAAATCCACAAAAATAAACTGAATTTTTTAATCTCTGTGTGTATGTGGGGGAGTGGGGCTTGTAAGGGTGGGAGTGGGAGTTATTTTTGTTGACAGGGAAAGTCAGGAATGAAAAGGCAGAAAAGGCATGTGCACTATTTCCAAAGAGAGGCTAGCAGATCAACTCTAGGTTTAAACTTGAGTCAACAAGCTGAATTTCTCTAACATCTTTTATTTTCCAAAACTAGGAAATATATGGTTTGTAGTTAGAGTTAAGTTAAAAGAGAAAGTTTCATGGTGCCCAGTTCTTATTTTTCACACTATGTTCTCATTACATTACATTACATAGGCATTTGTTAACTATCAAAATGTTTATCACAGATTGGAAAATGTCTCTGAGGATGTTCTGGAATCTGTAGATATCTCTGCAGTCCAGTATTTGTTTACTGCTTATACAGAGTTACTGGATTAAGTCATCCCAATTTTTATTAAGTATTTGGAATATCATATTCTCAAGGGGAAAACTTTATAATTTGTGCCAGTTTAATGAATATTAGTATGTCTTCAGACTGTTATAGCTTCATTATTTGGGGAAAAAACAAATGTGACTGAATTTCTCTGGGAAATATAATGCTCTGATGACATATATTCCTTGAAAACATTCTTGTCAAGTAATAAATGATATATTTAATAAACAAGAGTAACCATTGCTCTATTTTGAAAAGTCATTAATTTTTCTGTAAATACCTGGAGCTATATAGATTACCTGAGTAAATTAGTATGTCAACACCCAATAACATATCCCTTGAAAGGAAAAAGAAGTATCCCCATTTGTGAAATAGTAGTAATAACAATAATAATACTGATTGACCATAGGTAAAACTTGTTAATCACATTCCTTCCAACCTCAAAACTTGTTTTAAGTATTACTCGACAAAATCTTGGTAAAAATCCCTTTGCGTTCTTATATCTTCCATCAAGCCTTTCAAGCTAATATTCTAAATTTCCAATAATTTGTTTTCTTCTTTACTTTGTTGCTGCTTATGATCCCTGGCTAGTTCATAAGAACCTTGAAGGAAAGAATCTGTCTTCTCTAACATTTTGTACCTTTCTTTAAGTTCCATGCTAAATATATTTTAGATCTGTAACATATTGAAGTCCAATTAATTATCTAAACAGCTAATAGAATAATTTTGAATGTCTATAAAAGATCAGATTAAAGACCTTTGGTTTTATACTTTACTTTCTTTGAGATTTTAGGAAGGATAGTTTTCTCTTAGAGCTGTTTTACCCTTTCATAGAAAAAAAAGTGGTGAGATTTTGAGTGTAATGTTTAACATACAGAGGTGGTGTAATGATTGGGAAAAAGGGTGTATGACAATATTTAGTAAAAGTTGCATGTTACAAAAATTATTTTTAGATTTCTTGTATTTTTTTAGAAGGATCCCACTAACAAATGAGAAGCTACATCATCTATGTCCACCTTAGTTCACCTTAACGTTATAAGTACTTAAATAAAAACTAAAATGAAGGATATGGCTAAAACAAAATTCAGTATGCAAAAGAAATACACTGATAAGCAACTGTAACACCTTTGAAATTATTTTGAAATTTAAGTAATAAGCATGAGAAATACTTAAATTATTAGATATTTATAAATATAAATTATTAAAAACAAAGTGCATCAAAAAGCTTGAATAAATAATAAAGTATACTGTTCATACTTAGATTTTAAATGATTTTGATTGCTTTTAGTCTGTCTTCATTAATGTTTGATCATTTTATCTCTATGTAAATAATAATGTTTCATAATTTCTAATAATAGTGAACCAGGATATCTTTAACCAGCTTGCTAATCTTTCACCAGTGAATTTAGACAGTTCACTCATTCTTTTGCAAAGTTCAATAAGCTATAAATATTACCCTCCCGTAGAAATGTATAAAAGAAACCAAGAATTAAGTGACCAAGGGTTCACAGAAGAGTCCGCTTCTGTCTCAATCTGAATCTCACATCCTTTTAAATATGTGGTATCTTCTGCTTCAGAAATCAGGAACGATTTACTTTATGCCCCTAGTTTCTTCCATAGGGCATTTA